TTTGTCCACACTTCAGAAGGTAATCAGAGGAAGATTACTAAAAACAGAGAATGGCAATTAAAATTTTTGCCAAGTCATCGCTAATGGTTTTTTATGGTCGTCAGACCTTAATAATTTCTTTTTATTATTAAAATAAAACAAATGTCATCTTTTGACATTTACAAAAAATGACATTTTACGTCAAAGATATTTCAAAAATGTCAAGTTATTATAACATAACCCCAAAAAATAACAAATTATGATTTATACTTTTAAAATTAAACTTAACCTCAAAAGAGTTATAAAATAATGTTTTTTGTTTAAAGTTGGCAAGATATTATTTAGCATCGAATATAATTGATCGAAAATTGTCACATTCTCGTAAAATACAAAAGAAAATTTGCGTCACGATTGTCTTTTTAATATCAATTTAAACCTTAAATTAATGGCAAAATTACACAAAACCCATTATATCCGAATCGCATCAACAACACATTAACGAGTTTCCGCCTTACTTCTTATTATTATTCTGTTTAGATAGTTGGCGTTAATGACATCAACAAATCTATTTGACGTTAATATTGACCTTTTTATGTTTTTTATAAACAACCAATTCAAATAACGAAAAAAAAGAAGATAATTTATAATTAATAACAATAAATGATTTTTTAATATTGTTTAAAGTTAATTTTTTATTTTTAATTTTGATCAATATCAACAATAAGCATGGGCGTGTCTTTGGTTTTCTCCTTTGGATTAAAACGTACATAGCAAGTTTCGATTGAATCCAATCGTGATGCTCAGTGGGCGTGGTATAAACGCGAACCGTAGCCAATGAAAACGTTCTGATCTCGTCTCTCGTCGTGGAACAATGCAAGATATCAAAAAGGTGCGGTGAAATCGGTTACGCCCCTTCGCGGAAATCTTTTGTTTCACATTCAAATTTTTTATCAAAAAAAAATTCATTTCATTTCAATTTTTATATGTAGATATTTAAGAAAACAAAAGACTATAGTGTTCGGTTATTCGTGTTATCGCATCGTCCTTGATTGCAACAACGCGTTCGTTATCTATGTAGGTATTTTTGTTATTAACGTCAAGTTGAAAAAAAAAAGATATTAAAGTGTAAAAAAATTGTTAAAAGAAATAATATACCCACATAAAGTAGTAATTATATCTTTGGGATATTTTTAGCCTCCGGGGAAAAAGGTTGGTAATTAAAAAAGTAAATTAGGAACGTATCCATATTAATTGACCGGTTCCTTTTTTTTCTTCTTCAAAAGAAATAAGTCTTAAATTTTTTTTCTCTCTATTTTTATTTTTATTTTCTAAAGTTACAATTTGGTCAACACATAAACAATAGACTAATAAACTGAATGAGGCTACTTGATTTATATTAATTTATACGTTAAATACGTGACTGTTAATAAGGATTTTGTATATAAAATCGGTTTACAAACTATAAAATACTATTTTATTAACATATAACATAACAACAGTGTGTTTTTTTTTTGTTATCATGTTGTTACAAATAGAAAATCAGAAATATATAAAACATATATAAATATATATATATAACAAAAGAACTTTGATATACTTGAACAGGTACTGGACATTTTGTGATTATAGAATCAAAAATATATGCAAAACACTTTAGTTCTTTGCCACTACTTTCTGTTGCAAAAAAATAATACATTAATGCCATAAACAGGCAATAGGTGGTATGTCAAAAAATTGCGTTTTGAGTTTATACCACCAGTCTAATTTCAGAAAATAGCAACACTGCATTGCATGAACATGGATCATTTTTCAATTTCTGGAAAAATTGTCGGAAGCATTTCCAGAAATTTCCATCAACATCATTTGTTAATAAAGATGTAGCAAAAATAAGGTATAATGACAATTTTATGAACGAAATAATTGAAGAACAACTAGAAGAACCCTACGAACCCTCCGGTTTTGAGTATATATCATCAGAACCTGAAACGTGCAATTCAGATGATCAAGATGATACAAGCAGCTGAATTAGTAATTGGTGAGGGTCGAAACATAAGGAAAAGCAAAGGACAAGGTGATTCTTCAAACAAAAAAAGGTCAATTATTTATTGTTTGTAGACTACGAATGGAAATTTGGAAATACGAGGGTAAGTATGCAAGACAACATTTTGCAACATTATCAATTGGGGAAAAATACGTAAGACAATGTACATCTACTGTTCCTGAGGTAAATCAGTGTCCAGAAGGTTAGAGTTAAGTAACTGTAAGGGAGTTTTTAGAAAAGTTGCTGAAAATGCAATCATACTGCTATCGACCTTGAAGTCGAAAACTCAATTTAGACCCTAGATGGAACAATTACCGACACTTGCATTCAATTTTCTTTATTATTCTAAATAAGAAAACAAAATACCATGCTTCAAAGAAAGATTTATGCAAATCATGTATGACCCACAATAACAGAAATTTAGAAATTAAATGAAGAGCACATTGTTTAAAAAAATTAAGACAAAGAAGCTGTATATTCTGCAAATTCTGTATATTGTTGATCTCCAAGCGCAGATTATGTTCTCGATTAACAGCTTTAAAACGAAACTTAAAGTTTATAATCTGACATTCTACAATTTAAAGACGTTTCACGTTTTGTATGGTCTGAAACGAATGGAATCTTCCAAACCAAAATTGGCTGTATGCATCAAAATCGTAACATCAAATTATCAAACAGTCTTCTCGAGTTAGTTTTGGGTCAAAATATAATTGTAGAGCAAAAGTAATTAGAAGTGGATCATACCAAGAAGGAAGTAGATTCAGTTCAGATAATAATTGAAAGGAAGTCAGGTATGACATAATGGCTTTTATAAATACGATGTTTGGTTTTATTCAAGTATTCGTCCATGCAATAAAACTATGTGTGACAGATATTTATATACTTTAGTACCTACTTAAAAAAACTGCTCAGTATAAACTAAACTTTACAGACATAGAATTAAATTTTTGCATCTGCAAGAATTAAAACTCTTTATGGCACACATGTCATAAAGGTCGTAAGTCCTTTCAAACATTATGTTACCTAGTAATATGTTGTATGTTAGCCAAAAGTAATCAAAATTTGTTGTATGTAAAGATAAGTCTCAAGTTACACAACTTATCAACGAGCTATATTGAAATATGAAAAAAAATTTGATCACTAGAAGTTAATATGCTCAGTTTAATAGTTTATAAAAAGAAACCTACTCTAACGAGATATAGCTATACATATACAGTGTAATTAGGTTTATATACACATAGTTCCACACTCATCGCAAAGTATTTATGAAATATCAATTTTTGACATTAATTTGTTCTTAAACTATTTTAAAAATGCTTTGAAATAAAGCTTTATGTAAAAGCAAATAATACCAGGAAGAATTAGTTGGATCAAAAAAACATTAAAACGATTATTTAGAATTATGTTTTGAGTGAAGACTATTTGAGGTTGGAACGATTGAAATGTGGCAGAACTCAAATTTCAGCAACTTATCGGTCTAAAATTTCGTTGGGTGCAGAACAAACAAATGTAGTATATCCTTCCCAACAAAAAAACTTTGATACATCTGAGGAGATTATGACAATTTTTATGGGGATTAATTTATTTATGGGCAGAAATGTTTAGCTCATTTTGCTATTATTGACTTTTGTGATGATTTTAAAGAAACAACAAAAACCATACATTGAAATATTGAAAAAAAAGTTATTCAGTTTAATCCTGTATGCAATTTTTTTACACTCAAGGTCAACCCAAGTGCTTCAAAAGGAATAATTTAATTCTATTATTTTTGACATTTTGTAGATGTCAATTGTAGACACTAAAGCTAATGATGATATTTTTACCTCAAATGTCATTTTCGACGTCATGAAATGTCAATTTGACATTTTATAAATAGATATTTCAAATTAATTTATTAATATTAATTAATATACAATTGGATTTGATTTTATAAATATCAATTTAAATTCATATAACTAAAATGTAGTAAATTTTCTAGAAGGAATTTTCTTGTGGAATTATACCTGCTTATAATTGTCAAAAACCTAAACAATAGTTTTTGTTATGCCACCAAAGTAGTATTTATTTTCACTCATTGGAGGTGGATTTTATACCTTTCGGGTTCTTTTTCTTGGAATCTTTTGTTTAATACCATTTTACCGTTAGGTTATAACAGGTAGTTTATATCGAAGAGTAAACAATTTTTATATTCTTATGGTTTTTTCCTTTTCTTTTAGAGGATTTACCCGGAAAAAGGACGGAAATAATAAAAATAATAGAAGAATCTTTAAGTAGAACTAAAAGGTAAGATTTTTTATGCAGGGCAGAAACACCCTGTAAGTTGTGGTGTAATTTTAATCACAAATACTAGAGTCAGAATGATGACGATTGCACTTTTTGAAAATGTTAATTGTTGTGTATGGGTTTAGACCAAAAAATTTTTACTCTAGGTTGCAATTAAAATTATGCCACAACTTACATAAACACCCTGTATAGCGTCATTTTTATATTTGAGTTCTAAAAATTCCTAATAACCTAACCCAAGTCAATAAAAACTATTTTTGCATTAAATTTCAAAAAAAATCTACTTTATTAGTTAATATTAATTAATTAACATTTATGAATTCAAAATTGACATTGACGTTTTAAGGTTATATTAAAAATGTTACCACACTCATAAAAAAATAACACAAAATTATTTTTTTGTAGTTTATATTTAAGATAAACATCGAAAATTTTAAGTGTTATTTTATTATATTAACGTCACAATGCCAACATTAACATTCCAACCTAAACTTTAAAATTGACACATCAGAATAATCTCTTTTATTAATCCTTAAAACACGTGTTAACAAGATTAAAACCGGTTTTTCATTTCAACACATCGATATTAAAACCGCATTTAAACTTTACATAACGTAAAACACCAAAATGAAAGTATTAGAATCAAAGTGATCAAGTGAAAGTTAAAGTTTAACGTTGGGTGTAAAATAAAACTTACAGGATTATCATCGCTTCCCCCTATATCACCGTCTCTCTCCGCGTTATCCATCTCCATATTGGACAGGTTCACCGGCGACTTGTTTTTGACACGAATTTTGCCAGCAATAACCGTGCCGCGAAGCACGCCTCTTTCCGACTTAACAAAAAAGAAACAAGAAAAAACAAACCGCGACAACAACAAAGTAAAAACACCCGATTTTCGTCCGCACAAACCCCCAAAAAACAATTCAAATCCAAGAAAGACAAAAAACACTCACGAAAAACAAAAACTAACCGCTAAAAACAAAACGACAACGCAAACAACCATTTGCAAGCGATTAAAAAGTTCGTTCGAGAAACAACGATGATGCGATTTGAGATGATTTGAATTAATTATTAATAGGTGGCCCGGAATTTGATTAACCAAACCAAAAAAACCGGGAATACCGTGTGTTGTCTCGTCGTTTTTAGTGACTGCGTGGCAACCAACGTTTACGAACGAACTATGTCTTGATCGAGAGGGCTGCCGCGCGGATACCGAACGACGATCGTCGTTTCCACCACCACCGATAACAAAATTTTAGGCGCCAATTGACCAATCGCGTCTTGTAGAGGGCGTTGTTCTCGAGGTGGAGGGGCGTTTCTTTCCGATCAAGCCGCTCTGCCTGCTTGATATGTAATCATATGTTTTTATTGTGTGGCTACGGTTTTATCCAATCGAAACGAGGGTGGTTTTCACTCTGTATATTTTATTGCGCAAGTCTATTTTACGATTTGCGCAGAATTAGATATAATAACATAGTATTATAACATTTTTCTGTACTGCATACTAATACATAAAATCGAATCGCAAATTAAACTGTCTAATAGAATGTCAATTTATAAAGTATTTCGATTACGTTTACAACATTAAAGTTTGTAAAAGTCAAAACGATAAATTTATTGAAAAATTTCCATAAATTGGATTGGGTTGGTAAATTTAACATGACAGTTACAACTAACATCAACTTAACTTAAACTTTATCGCATGATGAACTAAATTTAATGACATTAACAAGTGACACAAAACATAATGTTTTATGAATAATCATAACAGTTTTATATATAGCTGGTCTAAAATATGTTTGTAAACAATTCTTGCTTATTTTAACTTTTAATCTGTCAAATTAAACGTTAATTTATATGTTGCATAATTTTAATCGATACCAGCAATTAATTTTATAATTTTTACATTGTACAGAGTGTTAAAACTCATCAGTAACGTTTAATTAGTAACTTATTAGCTCACTGACATATGTACGTGACTTGTCATTGATACATCCCATATTATATCTTTTTGGCCAGTATGGTGCGAGATGTTTAGAGATAAAAGGTTGGCAATGGAGGCCACAATTTTGGATTATGAAGAGCTGCATCAGGTGAAAAAATTTACATAAATTAATTCAGTGCACAAAGAATTGTGTCTATATCATATTCAAGATACTCTAGAAGAATAGCTATGAGTATGTTATAATAAATTTTTATTACCTATTTACATAATTTTTTGGATAATATTGACTATAATTATATTAGGTATGCTCAAGCCTTATCTTCCAGAAAACTGAAAAGTAATGCAAACTGACATACAGTGATACAATAAAGTCTACATACACCCCAGAAAATGATAATATCTCAGCTCCTGAAATGTAATTCAATGAATTTTTTAAACGAAGGATATTAGAACTCTATATCATTTTACCGTAAACCCGATACATTCTGCATTATACATTCTCGGTCTAGTGTTAGTTCTAGTTTTAGTTCAATACAAATATACAACATAGTGATATCTTATGCTAACTAGCGCTACTTACCACAGTCTCTAGAATTAACATTAGACCTAGAACTAGAAACATTCGGGCTTAGCCGCACGTCTCTTAAGATGGCTAAACCCGAATTATTCTAATTCTAGGTCTTGTGTTAGTTCTAGTAATAGTGCTAGTGCAAAACTAGGTGTACTTGGACTTGCTATAAACTCGTTCCTATTCATTTAGACAATTTGTTAATGACTATCAACTAATTTTTAGTCATTTTGAGCAACATGGATTGTTTAAAAACTAGTTGTTAATCATTTAGACAAGTATAAAATTATGCTCAACCAGTTTTCAATGATTTGGAATAACATGAGATGGCTATGAAGTCATTTCCAATCATTTTGAACAATTTTGCTACCTTATAAACCAATTTTAGACAATGTTGGTGCAGTTTTCAATCGTTCTGAGCAACCTAGACTTGCTACAAACTAGTCCTTATACATTTCGACAAGTTGTTAATGACTATCAATTAATTTTTAGTTATTTTGAGCAACATGGATTGTTTAAAAACTAGTTGTTAATCATTTAGACAAGTATAAAATTATGCTCAACCAGTTTTCATTGATTTGGAATAACATGAAATAGTTATGAACCTATTTCGAAACATTTTGCTACCTTATAAAGCAATTTTGGACGATATTGGTGCAGTTTTCAATCATTCTGAGCAACCTAGACTTGTTATAAACTAGTACTTATACATTTAGACAAGTTTTTCATGACTATCAACTAGTTTTCAGTCATTTTGAGCAACATGGATTGTTGAAAAATTAGTTGTTAATCATTTAGACAAGTATAAAATTATGCTCAACCAATTTGCAATGATTTTGAATAACAATAGGCTATGAACCTATTTCAAAACATTTTGAAAAATTTTGCTACCTTATAAAGCAATTTTGCACAATATTGGTGCAGTTTTCAATCGTTCTGAGCAACCTAGAACTTAGATACTTTCTAGTTCTACGTCTAGTGTTAGTTCTACTTCTACACTAGCACTGTTTCTATATAGAACTAACACTATACCTAGAACTAGAATCATTTGGGTTTAGCCGCAAGTCTCTAAAGACGGCTAAACCCGAATGATTCTAGTTCTAGATATAGTGTTAGTTCTAGTTTTACACTAGCACAGTTGAATGATTCTAGCTCTAGATATAGTGTTAGTTCTAGTTTTACACTAGCACTGTTACTGTGTAGAATTAACACTATAACTACAACTAAAAATATTCAAGGTTAATGTTTTTTGTTCTATCTTTTTTATTTTTTGATATAAATGCATCATGTCATTCAAAATGAGCCCAAACATGATAGGTTTAATTCCAATATTACTCGAGATATAAGCAGTATCCGGTATTTTTAATGAGCTATAACGGACACTGATATACTTTTTTTAGGACTGTATGTAGACTTTTTTGAATTAAAGATATGATTATGTTTTGTGTTCCTCTTGATTAATAATAACTTATATAGTTTTTATGTAAAATATGGAAATAATATGGACTTCTTACATGTTTTGTTAAAAAATTTCATTGAATTCCATTTCGGGAGCTGACATATTATCATTTTCCGGGCTGTATGTAGACATTATTGTATCACTGTAACTGACATTCTAATATCCAAAATGATCTCCATAGCTACAAAAGAGATGTGAAAATCTATTCTTAACAATCTTATATGTTTTGGAATATTCCTAACTCTTTAAGAACTATGGGTAAAAACTAAAAAAAATAGTTAAAACAAAATTGCCATATTTATAAATAGTTATCAACATCATTGATACAAATTACCATTTCATTCAAAAACTGCTTCAAAGAGTCACATTGCAAGTGCAACATGTTGCTTTCTCTAATATAGCTATTGGTGGTCCACCTGTTNAATGCGAACTGACATACAGTGATACAATAAAGTCTACATACACCCTAGGAAATGATAATGTCTCAGCTCCTAAAATGTAATTCAATGAATTTTTTAAACGAAGGATGTTAGAACTCTATATTATTTTACCGTAAAACCGATCTTGTGTTAGTTCTAGTAATAGTGCTAGTGCAAAACTAGGTGTACTTGGACTTGCTATAAACTAGTCCCTATTCATTTAAACAATTTGTTAATGACTATCAACTAATTTTTAGTCATTTTGAGCAACATGGATTGTTTAAAAACTAGTTGTTAACCATTTAGACAAGTATAAAATTATGCTCAACCAGTTTTCAATGATTTTTAAGAACATGAGATGGTTATTAAGTTATTTCCAATAATTTTGAACAATTTTGTTACCTTATAAACCAATTTTAGACAAGGTTGGTGCAGTTTTCAATCGTTCTGAGCAACCTAGACTTGCTACAAACTAGTCCTTATACATTTTCAGTCGTTTTGAGCAACATGGATTGTTTAAAAACTAGTTGTTAATGATTTAGACAAGTATAAAATTATAGTCAACCAATTTTCAATGATTTTGAATAACATGAGATGGCTATGAACCTATTTTGAAACATTTTGAAAAATTTTGCTACCTTATAAAGCAATTTTGCGCAATGTTGGTGCAGTTTTCAATCGTTCTGAGCAACCTAGAACTTAGATACTTTCTAGTTCTGGGTCTAGTGTTAGTTCTAATTTTACACTTGCACTGTCACTAGAACTGACATTAGACCTAGAAATATTTGGGTTTAGGCGTACAAATGATTCTAGTTCTTGGTCTACCGCTATATAATAATTAAAATTAGAACTAACACTAGACCTAGAACTAGAAAGTTTCTTTTTAAAAATATCTAGGTATCTTTCTAGTTTTAGGTCTAGTGTTAGTTCTAGTTTTACACTAGCACTGTTACTATATAAAACTAACACTATACCTAGAACTAGAATCATTCGGGTTTAGCCGCAAGTCTCTAAAGACGGCTAAACCCGAATGATTCTAGTTCTAGATATAGTGTTAGTTCTAGTTTTACACTAGCACTGTTACTGTGTAGAATTAACACTATAACTACAACTAAAAATATTCAAGGTTAATGTTTTTTGTTCTATCTTTTTTATTTTTTGATATAAATGCATCATGTCATTCAAAATGAGCCCAAACATGATAGGTTTAATTCCAATATTACTCGAGATATAAGCAGTATCCGGTATTTTTAATGAGCTATAACGGACACTGATATACTTTTTTTAGGACTGTATGTAGACTTTTTTGAATTAAAGATATGATTATGTTTTGTGTTCCTCTTGATTAATAATAACTTATATAGTTTTTATGTAAAATATGGAAATAATATGGACTTCTTACATGTTTTGTTAAAAAATTTCATTGAATTCCATTTCGGGAGCTGACATATTATCATTTTCCGGGCTGTATGTAGACATTATTGTATCACTGTAACTGACATTCTAATATCCAAAATGTTCTCCATTGATACAAAAAAAATGTGGAAATCTATTCTTAACAATCTTATATGTTTTGGAACATTTCTAACTCTTTAAGAACTATGGGTAAAAACTAAAAAAAAATAGTTGCCATATTCATAAATAGCTATATCAACATCGTTGATACAAATTACAATTTCATTCAAAAACTGCTTCAAAGAGTCACGTTGCAAGTGCAACATGTTGCTTTCTTTAATATAGCTATTGGTGGTCCACCTGTTTATTGTTTAAGTTAATAGTTGGAA